GAGCTGATCGCTGGCAGGGAGGGGGCGGGGCTGACGAGGGGGTCGGGAGGTCGCTCGGTTGGCGATGACTGGAGCAAGGCGTCGAGGTTCGGGTGAAGTGAAGGCGTTGAGATTGGAGGGGGTCGGTTGAATGGGAAGGGAGCGTGGGCGGAGTCTGGTTTGCAGAGCGGTGTCGTGTTAGCGGAAGTGAAAGAAGGCAGACGCCGTGATGGCAAACACATGTACTTTGAAGCCTTCCGCGGCCGGCGTCTGACAGCAAATACATACATAAAAGCCAGGATGTCGAGGATGCGGGAATTTGGAGAACCTATCACAGCCTGTGCAGAAGGATCGGATGGCTACTCAAGGCCATTGGGAGGCCCGCGGTTTATGTATCACCCACCGTGTGCGATACGGAAGGAATGGAGAGGAAAGATGTAGCCTGGCACGACAACGACAACGCAAATAAGCAGTGCGCATGAAGGGAATAACATGGAAGGTTTAGAGTTGGAAGAGATAATATAGAAACTGGCTGCATGACCATGAATGAAGTGATGATGCAATGGTACGAATGAGAAAGTGGAAATGCGAGAAATTTGTCGATTAGGAAAGTCATGGTGAAACAAAATTGCAGAAGATGAAACGAGAGGGAAAGTGAATGCGGTTGAGAGCCAGAATGGGAATCGGGAAGCAGGTATAAAATCAGGCAGGAACCGGAGGAACGATGCGAGAAAAAATGGTAAATTATGAGCACGAGAGTGCGATATCGGAAACGCATATGTAGAGAAGGGGCAGGGCAGTGACAGAAAACAGACAGGTAGCTGGACTGCGGCGGCAGTGGTGATGGCGGTGACAGCGGGGGCTGGCGACGGAAAGGAAGGTGACGGCGGTGTCGGTAGAATCGGTTTGGCGGACGTGCCGGTGAGGATCGGCATGTCATTGACGGTGGTGACGGCAGAGATGGTAGTGACAGCCGTGACAGTTGTGACGGCGTTGCGAATAGTGACGGCCGTGAGGATAGTAATGGGGGGGACGGCGATGTTGACGACTGACGTGATTGCGATGAAGGTAATGGTGGTGAGGGAGCTAATGTTGGTGAAGAGAAAATGGTGAGGGAGGTGTTGGAGATGATGGCAGTGGGGACGGTTTTGACGACGATGGACCCTGTTAACATCGTCGGCGGTGTCGCTGGTGACGGAATATCTGCGGTCGACTGGGACTGCAAGCGGGTCCGCGGTCGACGCAGCCGCCGTGACAAAGTCGTTCCGACGTTGCCTAGATAAAAATTCGCGCCGGCGCCCCGTGTAAACTCTGTGCGTTGGCGCGTGGCGGCCTGTCGCGCGGTGACACCCGCATCCCCTTCCCTCTGCCCTACCCCTTTCCCCACAGCTCCCCCCGGGATACCCGTCCTGTCGCTCTCCGTCTGTCCTCGAACGCGCGGTCGCCTCCCTCCACCTCCGGAACCTGCCTTTCCCTCCGCCACTCGCCACGTCCCACGTGGCAGCGCCGATAAGGCTCCATATAAAAGGGTTGCGAAAAGCCCGTCGACCAAGCTCAGAATCGGTGTTATTGGATTTTCTGTTTGGTCGGATGAAAATTAATACTTGTTTCGTGTGTCAGCAAGAGGCGATTATAACGAAACATTCATTAGGTTAGTTGTTGGGTGGTACTGCTACAGTTAAAGAGAATATACATTTAATTATAGTTTATTTAGTTTCCCGCGAAATTAACAGTTGTTCGTTTAATTTTCTTGGCTCAACATTCTAATTCACGAATTATATAAATGGTGAAACCGTTTATCAGATGCAGAAATATCTCGTTGTGTTGTTTGAAGAAATTTCGTTTTCAATATTTCAGGTAAAGAATTATTATTTAAATGTAATGTGTAATGTATATATGATAGTATATTTCAATTAGGTTTTAATTTAAACGCATTAGGAATATTTTATTTACTAACTGCGTTCATAATACTTGGAATCTCCCATTAAATAAAAAGAAAATACAAGTAAATGGAATCAGACAATAATAATTTGACAATTAGCATTTATCATTTACATTTCAGTTTTGGCAGTATTGTGTTTCAGTTGGTGTTTAATGGTTATTTGATATCTTAATTTGATTTCTATTGGACTTCATAATAACGACGTAATACTTCATGCGTTTTTTAGGTTAATAAACGAATAATTGAGAATGTTATGACAGCCAAGAGCCATAATTGAAATATTTCGTAACTTTTCCCCACTGTTAGTTTTTTGTTTAAAAATTTAATATATTTTAGAGTAAATCATCAATGATCCAATTTTCCCTGTGTTCGATCTATTTTAATCCAATTCGAGCAGGGGAACACGAGCAAGCAAACGCACGCAGAGACAAAAGGAAACAGACCTGCCCATGACAAGTGAAAAGCCAGATAAATCATGTGTCAGTACGTTCAATGAGTAAAGAAAAGACTCTTTCAAACAATGGAAATGTATTATGTGGTTGGTGGTGAAATGAACATAGTTGCGTCCCTTTCGTTCGATGCTCGAAAAATTCTTCTGAAGAGATTGCGAAAGTTGAATAAAACAGATGCGGCATCAAAATAGAGTATAGTATCTACAAATACAGACCGTGTTCATCACCAAAGCAAAATAATTTTTAAAATGTACTGGCTTGTGAGTACGTGTGCATAGCAATTTTGGCGCGTTGTAGATTAGTCATTTGGGGGTGGGCGATGATTAAATTTCTGAAAACTGATGGCGCTTGAGGCAAACTATGAGACTACTTATAGGAGTGAGTAATTCCTTACCAACTGTACAGAACGTAAATCCGGAGATAGAATATTATTATTAAGTTCTCTTTATTTTCATAAAATATTTGGAAAATAACTGAACAAATCGGCAGCAAAAACTACATAATGTGCTTTAAAATCTGATGTTATTGTTATCATTTCTAATAAATTTGGAAAATACCCATAACATTTTCTTGTTTATTTCTTTTAAACATTGTTTGAAATCCAATTTTCTAGGCGAATAGTTTATATAGAGAGTAAATTCATTATAAAAAATAAGTATTTTACGTCATGCTCATAAAATGATTTTTTTTTAATTTGGCATTCCTAGACTCAGCTATTTTTAGAGGTCTCAGTAGTTTCTTATTAAATATAGTATCAGGATTTGATTTATTTTTTCTAGGGATTTCCATTTATATGACCAATGTAAGAAAAATTGCAAAATTTTGGGAAGTTTGAAATGATATTTTTTACATTGCGGTTTACAATGCAACCTCAGATCATCCTGGAGACCTCGTTCTACTCTGATGAAAGAAGAAAGAAAGACAATATTCCGCTTTCGCCTACATATCAGGGATTGAATCTGTATTGACTCCAGCACTAATGACTTCCCTTTGTCTCATCAGTTCCGAATATGTTCTACATGTTATACGAGTATATCCCGGAAGACGACGATGTTCCTACTCCACTGTTACGTGAGATTCGGTGCCGACCCTCATGACGTATTGGGGAGCCCAATTTCTTATACACCTGTAAGTTAGTCAAGGTTACCGATATCTACCTGAAAGTTCCCCCGTATCTACCTGAAAGTTCACTGGTACTTTATCTACCTCAATTTCCACAATTATCCACAATTTCCACAGTCTTTGTGTTTCGATCACTAGTTAGTATCTCCCCAATTCTGTCCACTTCCATCACAGTTTTGCGCTTAATGTAAATTTCACTTGAGCTCAAACAGACTTCTGCTATGTGTCCTTTCCTACCACATACGAAGCACGTCGCCTTAAAGAATCGACAGTCTTTCCTATCGTGTTTGATAAAACACGCTTTACAAGACTTCCTTCTATTCTCCGCGAAACTACTCTTGATGTATTTCTCCTGTATTCTTTGCTTTACGGTGTAGTTATCGTCGGTAGCCTTCTCCTTGCTCTGCTTCCGAATTTCGCTACTCACTAGTTTACGTTCTGTGGTTTTCCTCATAGCCGCTACATCCATATCCGACTCCATCTGTTGAGTTGCCTGCCATGGGACCTCGCTTCCCCTGGCCAGCCGTCGCATCTCTTTGAGCTGCGGTTCGCTGGATTTCAGGGGATCCTCCCTGATCTTGTCCTCTGGAGTATGAGCAATCAGCATGGCGCGAATTAGTGAATCCGCATACGATATTCAGCAACCACCTTTTGAACAAATGAAATTACAGGTTTTAGAAAGACCTCACATCTTCGTTACCCATTCTCGATGTGATTGCTCACTCTGCTTGCGTGACCGGAAAAGTTAAAATCTCGCTGCCACTAAGTGCAACGGCTTTTCTCATGTTGCTGCTGCAGTATTTCCTTTAACAGTTCGAAATAATATTGTATCAGATCATGATTACATAATTTATTCAGTAGCTCGCAAATTGAATCGCTTACGTTACTTAGAAAGAACGCCTTCTTGTTCCTCTCCTCACTTACATTGTAGAATATAACATGTTGCTCCAACTTGTAGCTGTATTTGCTCCGTTGCTCTTCCTTCGGTTCGAAATGTTTGAATGATGGCTGGTTATTTCGTGAACTTCTCTGAATACCCCTCATTCTCCATTAACACCTACAGTTGTAGTGAGGCCGCAGCCTGCTGCTGCAGTACGTTTACTAGCTACGGTAGTTGCTGCTCCGACGCCGTCCTGAAACTTCGAACTACGAAGTCGCTTTATAGGTTTCACCTTGTCACCAGCTGATATGGCCACGTCGATTCAACTCTTCACATTTTTCCTCGTCGCCGATTGTCATGCATTGCTACTAGTGAGTGAAACATTGAGTCAATCATATATACATTTATTCACGTTACATACAAGACGAACAGGTTACAAAGGTATGAGTCTTCAAGGTACAGCGGTCCGCTGTGCCGCTATGATCACGGCTCCTTGCCGTGCTCCGCCTGGGAACGACGGAAGTCTCACGCCGCGGCGTGGGGCTCGACCGAGGGGAGGGGCTCTCCCATAGCCTAGCCGGGATGGAGGGGAGGCGTCTGGCCTCCCTGTGGCGCGCGCCTTCCACGCGCCGCTGCTTCGCCGCCGTGAGGTCAGTCACAGCCTGCGGCCGCTTTGCCACCGTCCCACTTCTGGCGGGAAAACGGGGAACTTCCCAATCCCCCCCTTAAAACGTCATATTCCTTACTTTAAAATAGTTAATAAGTTGTCATTAGAATACACAAACACCATGAAACAAATACAAATATGAAGAAAATAGCGTTTATTGTGGTGGATTTTGGGGAATAATAGTTTCTTCCAGAAGCAAAGGCGGCTGTACAGAAACATTCAAACCCCAAACATTGCATAAAAGAGAAAGCTGTTTCTAAAGTGTTATTCATATTTGTACACTGAATAATGAGGCCTGTTCTAGGTTATACTATGTACGAATTGGGTGCGTAGTTTGCGCATAAAAGCAACGAATTTTATAGTTGTGCGTGAAAAAATAATTACCCGGATTAATCCAGAGAGCCGTAATCACGAAGCGTTAAAGAAAACACAATTTGTAACATTACATTAAAATTTCCTTCCGTTCGCCCCACTTCATTCTCTAATTACGTTTCCCTCCGTCGTCCTCCACTCTTCTGGCCCCCGCTCTCCGTC